CATTTTCACAATAGACATTTATACACCATTCGATAGAGAATTTCAAGGGCTACATTTTACACTATTTATATTTGATATACGAATTATTTGAATTTTCGGCCTAATGTCCGCTTGGATGCCCACTGTGATACTGTGCATCATACAGTGTCGTTTTGTAGCCCATACACAAGAAAGTTTGCAGAACATAGAACAGAAAATGCGACAAGTTATAACAAGAGGACAAGAGGTGAGTATGGGAGGCATGTACATATGGTCTGCTTTATATCCGACTGGAAGAGTCTTATAGTTTTATAGAAAAAAAAATATTATTATTCATCGTAATATTACAGTTAAAGCCACCAACGAAACAAAAATGTTTTTCATCTTGTTTCAAAACTTCTCCACTTTAGTTGAAGTGAAGGGCATTCTAATAAGAAACCTCTTGAGCTATAGTCCCAGTTTTTTTCCAGACTGTTTCTTCATTGACGTCAGCAGCACTAACACGCATAAACACTCATTCTGCTTATATAGAAAGTTTTCTAACTTTGCTAAAAGCGTTAAATCAAATGCCTCTGAATATTGTGAAAGAATTTAACCCACTTTTTCGTATAAATACAAGCGTCTCACGTCTCTGTTTCATTTCATTTCAGATTTAATAAAACATCACCATAATGCTGAAAATAGTCTTGTCTAAGTCTTCTCGATCGACTGCAATGCAACATCAATATGTTCCGTTGAAAAGTATTCAAGTCAGTGGTCACATACAATCGTTTGCTGCTGATGTTATAATAAAACAAACATTTAAAAATGAAGAACAAAATCCGATTGAAGCTGTTTATTGTTTCCCTATTGAAGAAAGTGCATCGATTTATTCATTCAAAGCACGTTTGGATGATGGACGAGAAATTGTAGCTGAATTAAAAGAGAAGAAAGAAGCGCAACGCTCGTATGTTCAAGCATTAAGGCAAGGACATGGTGCTTTCCTGTTGGAACAAAATGAAAAATCAAATGATGTATTTACAATTAGCATTGGTATGTGTTAAAATTTTGATTATACTGCTTTTTGAATGACTCGTTCATCTGAAGAGTTTTCAAAACGCTGTTATCACTGAGCCAATTTTCGCATCTCTGACGATAGTCTGAGAAATCTTTAATAGTTTGACAGGATCAGCTTCGAAATCCCTTCCTTTTTTGTCAGTATATTCTGGGCAAACTCTTCGAACTAATCAAACTTACAGCTTCTTCTCTCTGTTTCAGGTGCTCTACAGCCAAACGCTGCATGCGAAATTGAAATTAGTTACGTCCAAGAGCTCGAACTATTTAATGGTGATCAAATCCAGTTTGTTATTCCCACTACCATTGCACCACGTTACAGTTCGGATTCAGGTGGTATTTCATCACCAGCCGGCACCACTTCAAGATACGTTCAGCGTGCACCGTACACCATTGAATTTAATTGCAAAATTGATCAAAACGAACAAAATCGAGTGAAGCAAGTATCATCTCCATCGCATCCCATTTCTGTGTCGACCGCATTGGAAGTGAAACTCAGTCAGACCAATGTCCATTTGGATCGTGATATCATTTTGCAAATTCAGATTGAAAAGCAGACCAGCACATTTGCATTTGTTGAACAGCAGGCCGTTATGATTTCGTTCGTGCCGACGGTGGAACTTTGTGGTGGAGGTGGTGATAACGTGGTAAACAACGAGTATTTGTTTATTATCGACTGCAGCGGATCAATGGACGGAGAGAATAAAATTGGGCTAGCTCGTGAAGCAATGATCGTCTTTTTGAAATCATTGCCAGTTGGTTCTCACTTCAACATCATTCGATTTGGTTCAACGTATGAAAAACTGTTTGGTGATCTCTCAGTTGAATATAATGAACATAATGCCAAAAAAGCGTCGAAGTACATCGAAAAAATGAAAGCTGATCTTGGTGGGACTGAACTATATGTGCCATTGCAATATGTTTATGACCAAAAACCACAATCAAATTATTCACGTCAAATATTTCTTCTGACAGATGGTGAAATCGAGAATGTCAGCGAGGTGTTGGGATTATGCAGGAAAATGTCATTAACCACGCGAATATTCTCGTTTGGCTTGGGATCAGCTCCAAGTCGATCACTAGTCAAGGGCTTGGCAAAAGCCACCAATGGATCAGCCCTGTTCATTCCCCCGAAAACACATGTTGATTTAGCCGTGGCGAAACGAATGGAAAAGGTTCTCGAGCCATGTTTGGTAAACACCAAGATAAAATGTCATTTAGATTCTTTGAAAGAGAATGATTTTCAAATTTCGCCGAAACAACTACCACCGATTTATGCAAATGATCGTTTGAACTTGTTTTTATTAATGAAACAGCCGATGACAAAGCCATTAAATGGAGCATTCGAGTTCTATTCAGATAAAGTAAGTAAGACTTTTCATTGTTGTAGAATGAGTAAACAGTAGGTAAGGAGGATATGTAAGAAGAAGCATATCTTCGCCCATGTCGAAATTTCGAGAGACATTTAATGCAAGAAATTGCAAAAATTCAGGTCCATTGTTTTGCAAAAGCCTGTAGTAAAGTTTCCGTGTCTCACGTAACATCATACGCATGAAATTCTTTTGTGTTTTTCTGCAGTAGCACAACTTTTTGCGATAACAAGAAAATATCATCATTTTTCATGCATAAAATATTATTGTCTGTCATTACAGCAATAAAGCTTTATGTGTTTATCAGACAATTTCCAGATAGGTTCATCGAACCCAACTAAGAGGAGTCAATTAGAAAAATCTCTAAGTAAATTTTTAATAGAAAATGACCATTTATATTAAGGTTGTACATATTCCGCTTTGTCAAGTTATACACTAGTGATGATAAATTACGGTTGGCTCATCGCAATTAAGCATCGTTCTGTTTGCATTGTTAAACCAAAATGTTTTTTGCTAAAATTGTGTTGTAAAACCACACGGAGTATGACGCAAATAAAAGATTCTGCGATAAAAGACAAAAAAGCATTAGTTTCTGTTCATTTTTGAGGGAAAAAATACAGCGCAAGAAAAAGTACATAAGAAGCATGTGTTTTCTGGCGTTGTGTTAGTGTGGCCAAAAAACGCACATTTCTGAAGAAACCTTGAAAAAAGTTTGACGTGGGCGCTGGTAAATCCCCATTTTCCTGTATATCCCTTCCCCACTGAGGAAAAAGCTAATTTATCCTTTATAAAAAGAAAAGTCTAAGTTCAGAAAGACGTTTTGCTTGAAACTTTGAAAACTTTACCCTCACTGCCTGTAGAAAGGCTTTCCTACATGATGAACGTCTGCAGAGGCTGTTATTGGCTATTAAGATAATATAATGCGGGATCAGTGTCACCTTTGAATTGCATGAACTACTCTAGCAAACTTTTCCAAGATATAACCTATTTTTCATTCTTTTCTCATTTAGGATGCTTTAATTGAACGTATTACATTCACTAATGTTCAACCGTCACCTGACTCAATGACAGTCACACGTCTCGCTGCCAAATCTTACATAAATGATTATAATCATTCAAATGGCGAGCTGAAATCACTGCAAAAGGATAATACACAAATTGTGATTGATATTTCATTGAAATATTCTGTTTTATCACCTTTTACCGGATTTGTTGCTGTCGAACATCGAACAGGAGCAACAGCAGCAGAAGATAACAGTAATATGGTTCTACGTGAAGTACCAATTGAAATAAGTGCCGATGGCGGTGATCAAGATGCTGATTTTAACGAGGATGAGGAGTGCGAAGACGACGATGAGGAGTGCTTAGAGGATTATGAGAATAAGAGATTTGAATTACAGTGTAGTTTTAAAGCTTCAATGCAGGCTACTTGCTGTGACGGTAGTAGCGAAGAAGAAGAGAAAGAAGAAGCAGAAGCAGAAAGGATGTTGAAGAACGAGTGTTCTTATTCCCCAGCAAAGCGCGATAACAAATGCTCCATGAAACGTCGACAACGATCTAGAACTCGATCTCGTTCTCGATCTCCCGTATCGTCACACGCTATAACTGTCCGTCAGTTGATTCAGCTACAAGATTTCAGTGGTCTTTGGTCGTCAGTGACAATTGAAGATATCACAAAAAGATATTTCGTACAAATAGTAATGGATCGAACAAAACTTGAACAGTTGATGACAGATACCATGAGTAAAGATAATGGAATCGATCAAACACATTTAACGTCACTAGTTATTGTTTTGATATTGAAAAAATATTTTCAACTGGATGAACAATTATGGAAGCCGATTGTGAAGAAAACAGAAAAATACCTGAAAAAACATTTAGCTGGTGGAAATGAAAAGTATGAACAGCTGGTGGAGGAAGTGAATAAAGTTTTATAGACTCAAATTTTGTTTTGTAGTTATTGTTGTTATTAAACTAGATTTTGTTTTTTAAGACCGTAGGACCGTGGGTATTTTATACTTAACAAAAGGAAAGCCTTGAAAGCAAAAGCAAGTTATAGGCAAGGAAAGCGCAATTGTATAATGAAGCTAAAAACTAATAATCTTTCAAACGTTTGAATTTTTCGGTATAATTTTGTTTATTTATGAGAGAGAATTTTTAGCTCTAGAAAATAAAAAAAATGATTTTGGAAGACCATGTGAAAGGACGTTAAAATCTGAAAAATCGTGTTTTTCAATGATTTTCAAAACTATTGGGAATAATTTGAATATACCTTCTCAGGACTCGATCAGCAGTAACCACCATCCAAAAATTGGCAATTCAAGAAAATCAAGGAAATCAAGAAATTCAAGAAATTTAAGGAAATTCTAGAAATTCAAGGACTTTAACAAAAGCGCATAAGATACTAAACTATAAGTGTAAACCATCATGGAATTCAAGGAATTCAAGAAATTCAGGGAATTTAACAACGACACATACGTTAATTAGTACTAGGTCTCAACTCTGACGGAATTCAAGGAATTCAAGAAAATCAAGCAATTCAAGCGATTCAAGAAATGCTAGAGATTCCAGCAATTTAACAAAGACATAAGGTGGTTAGTTATAGGTCTCCACTGTGATGGAATTCAAGAAAATCTAGCAATTCAAGAAAATTCTAGAAATTGAAGAAATTCAACAATGTCATATGAGATATTGAGTTACAACCTTGCACAATCATGAAATCCAAGGACTTCAGGAAAATCAAACAAGAAGAAACTCAAGAAATTTGTAGAAAATTGAAGAAATTCATTGAATTTCTAAAATTTCCTGGGATTTCTCGGATTCATTGAATTGCTTGATTTTCTTGAATTCCATCACAGTTGAGACCTATAACTAACTACCTCATGTGTCTTTGTTAAATTCCTTGAATTTCTTGAATGCCTTGAACTGCTTGATTTTCTTGAATTCCATGATAGTTCACACTTATAGCTTACTATCGTATGCGTCTTGGTGAAATTCCTTGATTTCCTTGAATTCCATCATACTGCAGACCTATAACTAATTTCCTTATGCGTCTTTGTTACTTAGGGCATACCAAAAGTAATGACGCCATCACTTTATTTGCTTGTAGAAAGCTTGAAGAAATTTTCTTTTTTTATGCAGTTACGGACAAAACGATGCTCTATTTTTCTATCCTATTTCATCACTATTCACCTAATGTCCTAGTTATAAAATTTCGATAAGACCTATTGCTTTCGCATGTGTGATGGTAACATGAATGCTCGTGAGTATTTTCTGAATAGCTCTTCATAGAAACAAGATAGAGAACTGCTGTTTTTACGGTTGGAAAGAGGAGATGAGGATGCATTGAATCGTATATTAAGATTTTTCTAGTATGATTTTCGAAGTTATTTTTTATTCAATTTTCTAACCGTCTGAAAAATGCATGTTTAATGAAAAAAAGCAAAAAGCAAAAAATTTGCTAGAAAATCGTATTAGAGGTTCGACTAGAATGCATATTATCCCTAAATGATTAAATTCAAACACCTCAGTCTTTCACAGTTTGCAGATCTTTGAGCAGCGGTTGGAATGTGAACCTGATTATTGAAAATTCACTGTCAACAACCCACGAGAAAGGTTTGTTCTTTAAAAGGTCAACTGAAAACCTTACAAAAAACAGGTTAAAAAACTGTAATATACGGTTCGATGCGTCTTCTTCTCCCCTTTTCAACGGTGAAAAGCGCAGCTCTCTACCATGTTTCTATCAAAACGGATTACTCCCGTTTCGTCCCGTATTTGTTAATTAGCTCTCGTTTCGTCCCGTCTCATTTCGTCCCACACTTGTTTCGTCCCGTTTACATTTTCTATCATTCTACTCATTTTATAACTATTCATTTTTTTCTATCAACTGTATACTAATCAATATTAATATAATTTGATAATTGATACAGGGCTCTATAAGTTACATTT